AAACTACACCTCATCCAATTCTAGGTATAGGCGATCACAATCTAGTATAAAACCAACAAAGAGTTGGGGTCGAACCCACAAGGAGTGATACAAAATGAAATTCAATTAAGAAGTTATAAACGTGTTCTAGTTAATCATAGGAGTAAACATTATTGAAACAAAGCAAAGAAAATTAAAGGGGTTTGACAACGAGTGTTAGATGGGGGGATTGGTGTGTCAATTAACAACTACAACAATTACGAAAACAAGGAAGTAGATAAGTAGAAAGGGATTCCCAGGGATATGATCGATTAAATGCTAATTTCTCTATATGGGTAATTATTATTTACTAACAATTGTTAAATCTTAGTGGGTAGGGTAGACTATAGATGCAATAGCTTTCTCTCGAACAACTATTATGATTCAAGCAAGTTCTCTCGAACCTCGACAAACATATCAATATACACAGCCTAATACCTCAATTAATCTACTCTCTCAAGCTAGATTTGTAGGGTCGAGTTTAGAATCACTCTTTCGAGCTGAATCCACGATAACTCAACCACTACAATCATCAATCGATAGCCTTAATTCTAGAGCCTCTTTCTCAAGCAAGCCCAGAATATTAAGTTAGAATTGCATTTGTAATTCATGGGTTAATACAGAGCTATCAATCAAACCAACTTCAAATCAGCATTTAAATTAGTAAACAACAATACCCATAAGCTAATTAGAACAAGTAATCACATGATCATACCCCCAAAAATGGGGGTTTTAGCCACACATTATAAAAAGTAAGAAAAGATTGTCAATTATGTTATCCATGAACTGGGTAATGATTTCCAAGTCTCTATAATGCTTCAAATCAACTAATATTCAAAACCCACTTGAAAACTCTACTCAAAAACTCCAAAACTAGTGTTAGGGATCAAGAACTCAAGGTAAAACTCTCAGAAGACTTGTTTCAAAACTGGGAATTTCGGAACTCTCCCAACCACACTTAAAATTCTTTTGAAATTTTACATTTATACTACTCAGAATTTGCAGCTTGTGGGCTGATCGGTGGAGTAAGTCGAGCATCATCGACCAGGTCGGTGATGCGCCAAGTGTCACTCTCCATCGTCGTCTTGCCTTGCCTTTTCAACCTCAGGTTTCTGTCACTTTAGGCCATCAAGGGCTAAGTCGCTGATCTATTCAGCGGTTCGCCGACTATCCATATCCTTAGCCAAGTTGGCTTGTTCCCCAGGGCTGGCACGCTGTAACTTTTGGCGAGCTGAAGAATCACTCGGCGATTCGCCAAGTGGTCTTGACGATCACCAGGATTGCCTTTCTTTAACTTCTTCAACTTTTTCGCTCCTTTTTGCCAGGTAATGTCCTTACCTTGCTCCTTTGCCTTCATTGCTACAAATCCCCACTTTGACATCAGTATAGAGCATAAATTTGGCATGAGGACAATAAAGCTATGAAAACAAAGCCCTAAATGAGTCCAACTCTCAGACTTATCAACGACACTTATCTGTTTCCACCAAGACTAGTTAGTCTCAACCAAACGAAAATGAAAGAAATGTGAAAATAGTAAAAACAAGAACAAGATAAAGCGGAAAACTTATTCTTCTATTAAAACCCTCAAAATTTTGTTATCACGTGTATAAACAACTAAATACATAAGTGCATCTTTAAAAATAAATAGAAGTCTCAATCTTTGTTTCTCAAATAGAACAAAGGGTAAGAAAGGGAAAAAGAGGGTACGCCGAATGAAAAACATCTACCTCTTTAAGTTTTTGACGAGCCTCGAGATCAAGGGAAGGAGAAAGAGATCACACGAATCCAGAATCGAAACCTACACAACTGTAGAAGCAAGGGGTGAGTAACAACAACACAGTACCCATCAAGCAACCTACTAAACAAAGGAAATAGTTCGAAAAGAAATACCCCTTACAATCGAATTGAACCTCCTCAAACTACAACATGTCCATAAATTAGCCTAACCTAGCAATTCTACAATACACAGCTCACAGGCCAAACATTCACAATTCAACAATCAAACAAATCAAATAAGTCAATCTAACTGACAAGTAGTTTAGTCACACATTACAAGTACATCAATAACAATCCATAAGTAAGTCACACATAAGCATTAAGTGCATTAAGTCGCAATGATCATCACTAGCCGGAACCATTTCCCTTCGGCTTTATAACACTAGTCGGCAAGTACCTCGGCATAATTACACTCATCGAAAAAGACCTCAGCATAATAACACTCGCCAGCAAAGACCTCAGCATCATAACACTCGCTAGAAAAGACTTCAGTATAATAACACTCGACGACAAAGACCTCGGCACTATAGCACTCATCGGCAAAAACCTCGGCAAAATAACACTAGCCGGCAAAGACCTTGACATCATAACGCTCATCGATAAAGACCATGACATGATAACACTCACCGAAAAAACCTCGACATAATAACACTCACTGGTAAAGACCTCAGAATCATAACACTTACCGAAAAAGACCTCGGCATAATAGCACTCGCCGAAAAAGACTTCTGCATAATAGCACTTGCCGGTAAAGACCTCGACATCATAACACTTGTCGATAAAAACCTCAGCATAATAACACTCTCCGGAAAAGACCTCGACATACTAACTCATCACATGTCTCATCACGACGTTCACAATCAATGATATGATAAAATATCACACCACATGGAAGAGACAACAAACCATGCAATTCAAGTACACAATTATGCTTTCAAGCATTCATCAATCAATCATCAAATATCACAATAAGGCAATTCACATTATCATGTTCATCAGATGGCCATTTTCTTTTCAACCCCTTTTTATTCATTTAGATAAAATAAGTCGACAATTTAAACCCTTCACCTCATTTACATTACTCTAAACACGCAATCAACGAAGGAAGCATATGAATTTAATTAGAATACAAGTTTTAGGAAGCCACTTGGCTTAAATCAATCAACACACTCCAATAGTTGAGTCTTCCCCTTCCGGATCTCTTCCAAAGCCACACAATCTATGCATAAGCAAGACAATAAATTTCCGAAAACAACAATACCCACATCAATTTCTCTTGAAAAGTAGATCAATCATCACAAACCCAATTCTAAAAATAAGGTATGAATTCAAAATTTAATACTTGAAACATTACTCAAGGTTTTAGGAACTCATTAGGAAAAATCATTTTGAAAAATGACTTGAAACCAATTCACAAACTCCATTTTAGTTAATTCTTTGGTTTTTGAAGAAAATCCCCAAATTTCTAATTTCAAAAGAATGATTTGAACACAAACATCCATAAAAAAAACAATGTGTAATTAAATATATAGAATTAAGAATCGTTACCAAGAAGATTTTACTCAAAAACTTGGTCAAAATTGCCTCCCCAAAGCTATCAAAACTCAAAAATGGAGAAATAAGGTTGAAACCCCAATTTTCGAAAACATTCTTCCCAAGTCACAGATGCTCATCGCGATCGCGACCCAGCGTCACGCGATCAGATGAGTAAGGCATTAAAGTTGACCATTGTCATCGCAGCAAGACACACGCGATCACGATGTACCCCAAGATGATGCTACATGATTGCGATGAGGGAGTCTCACGTTCACGATGAATAAAATGACCATGCACTAGAACCTGAAACCATCCAAACTCAAGATCATCAAAAGGACACTCGAGATTCATTCGGAACCTTGTACACACAAACCAGATATGCAAACCAATTAAACTCAACGTTCTGGACTCAATGGAATCGTCACAACACAAATTCGAGGCCTCCTTGACCTGAAATTCGTGAAAATTACAAGAAACTAACTCACGCCTAAGAAGGCTAAAACACGCGTGGGACCTCTAAAAAATCTACCAAGACCTCAACTAGGAATAAAATCACCCCCTCCCCCTAATCCAACGGAATTCTCAAAATTCTTATCCAAGCATCTGAACCCTGAATGTTAATCAATGTCAACTCAAAGGGTAAATTTCCACAAGTTCACAACTTAGGACCTCAAATCCTCAAAAAGAGAAACTGAGAACTCTCCCGAATCATAATTCAAATTTTGAGACCGATGGAATTGACACAATTCCATTTTGATACTCGAAACTCCAAAAGACACCGAAAACCATTTTCTTAACAACTTATTCTTTCAAATTCAAAACTTACCAAAAATCTTAATTTTTAACTCAAAGTTCAAAACCAACTTTAATAACTCAATCATGGAAAACTCGGGGTCACTATTAGAAGGGTAAAATGGTAATTTTCATGAAAGAAACTAGAAATAACCGACCAGATCATTAAATTTGCTTGCCTACTAGGAGGGTTAGGGTAGCTATCTTCATGACCCAAATTTTATGTCATGATAGATATATATAGATCAACATCATTAGTGATTATGCAATAAATTCGATAAACCTATCATGGCCTCTTATATCATTTGCAATAGTCACGTACATTGTAAAATCACCACTACCCCCACCGAATCTAAGCAATATAGGCTGAAAAGGGGGAAAGAACACCTTCGGAAAATAATAGAGGCAACAAATAACACAATTATTAACGGAGGACAAAATTGCCCATCGGCTAACAGTACAAGGACAATTTTATCCTATTCTATTATGGAAATATAATTATTTCACAATCTTCAAGTTAAAGTATTGGGATTTTAACATCTACTTAAGAAAATAATTAAATAAATACCATAAAACTCATATTGTTCAGTCAAATTATTCTTAAATTTGGTCAAATTATCTCAGTCAACTTTATGAAATCCTATTAGACAGTCAAACACTTTTATCTTATATTCCCATATAGGTACTCACGTCTATATATATATATTCTACTTTGCTTCATTTTGTTTGTACCAAATATGAATCACTTGGCTAAAAAAAGGTGTAGGAATACTAGGAATCTCGATGAGAGTGCGAGAAAAGTCATTTTAGAGAAAAGATTAGCATCACTATGTAAGCAAGCAGAAGAACTGTCTATTCTATGTGATATAAAAGTCGGTATGGTTGCTTTTACACCTGGGGAAACCAAAGATTTTGCTTGGCCTTGTTTAACCCAGGCTAATGCCACAATAAATGAGTATTTAGCTTGCGATGAGGCCAAACAACAAATTAAGTTGTTCACACAAGAAACCTATCTTCAACGAAAAGTTGATGCTCGAGAAAAATATATTGGGAAAATAGAGCAAACGGCTGAAGAGAAGGAAATGGAGAACCTATTCAATCAACTTGCTTGGGGAAAAAGCATTCAGGAACTAGATGCTAGAGAAACTAAAGGTTTGTTAAAGCTATTTGAAGCAAAGCAGACTAAACTTAATGAAAGGAAGACTAAACTCAATGAACATGTAGATGAGAATGTTTTAAATCAAACTGGTGCTAATGATAGCAATGCTGGAGAAGAGAATCATGGGAATCCTTAGGATGTCGACTGGTCATGTAGTACTTTTATATTCTTCTATCATTATTTTGTCATTGTGTCTTTAAATATCGCTTCCTAGTTATTAGATTGTCGCTCATTGTTCATCTATTTATGTTATAGTTGTCATTTAAATAATATATGAAGGATATTTTATTTAAGTCTAGTGAATCAAGTTATATGTATCCTTCATTTTTTTATCAAATAAACATGTTTGTTATATGTAGTTTGTTCTCATTTTCTCACTGATGATTGGTGCATCATTCATTGGTACTCCGTTAGAGTGAGTGCGATTAACATAAAGTTAATGTTTGTGAATAACAAATGAAAGATTCATTGATCAATATAGTGAGTTGAAAGTTATGAGATCTCGAGTCCAAATTCAATCGCAACACAAAAACATTATGATTTTCTCTCCTTTGTCCAAGCTTTGGTGAATAGAATTACCCGATCCCTACATTATTGGGGAGTATAGGTGCCCTATGAAATTAGTCGAGGTGCGTTCAAACTAGTCTGAATGCTACAGTTTCAAGAAAATCCAGTTTTGTGTATAATTAGGAATTTTCTCTAATACACCTATTTTTACAACGAAAGGTAATCTCATTCAATATAAAGAATAAAATTATTAATCGACAATATAATATGACTTTGACACGATTTTAGTCGATCCCTTTTCAATTAGTATTTTTCTTTTATGTAATAATAAAAGTAATGTCAATTGTTGTCAAATTTCACGCATTGCACTTCTCAATTGAGGAATTGACCTTTTTTTTTGGGTAAAATATGTTGGGCCAGGCCCAATTTATTTATAAGTCAAGAAAGTAAAAAAAAAAAAAAAAAAAAAGCAGAGAGTCTAGTCCTACTAATACAACTCAAAAAAAGAATTAAGGAAAGTAAACTAATGAGTTTTGAGAGCTCAATCATCCGCTTGTTTTCAGCTCATTCTTCATTGATCTCGTAAGTTCCTCTCCTGCTACACTTTTTTTATATTTTAGTTGATTCTCGGTATCTCTTCCATGATTTCCATGGCTTTATTGTTTTTCAGTTGCAAGCTCATCTCCTGAGATTTTCTCGATAGCTCAAAGGACGACGATGCCTTCTCTTTCGATTAAGTTTTATGTGTTGATGATTGAAGGTCCATATCCTACTTCCCCTAGTATCTGATAAATTGATTTATTTCTACTAGATCTAGGTATAGTACACTCTAAAACTCCATCTATACACAAATGTATTGGGTATTGCTTTCTTCAAATGTTTTCTTGTTTCCTGATGATTATGAAGCTTTATTCGTCATCAACTGTGATTTTGTATGCTTGAGTTGTTCTCTAGGTTGATCCTTTTAGTCTTAATTCTCAGATTTAGGAGCTGAGATTTGTCACTATTTAGGATCTTTCTGGCCTGTGTTGGTAGATCTAGGAAGGTTGTATAATGTATTGAACTTTGATCGTTTAAAACATGATTAGTTAAAAAAATCAGCTAGCATGTTACCTTCTCTGAATGTGTGTCATATATGAGCATGCATAGTTTGAATGTATTTCTGGATTTCCTCTATCATGTTTGTCACCTCCCGTGGAGGTTTCCATTGTTTCTGAATCATGTTCTTACTGCCTAAAGAATCTGTTTCTATGATTACATTGTGAATATTAGCTCTTTGATAGTATCTCATAGCTTCTAGTATATCTTTAATTTCTGCCTCTGTAATAGTAGAATTCTGAATCACTTGTGCTTGAGCAAATACTAAGTCTCTTTTTTCATTCCTTAAACAGAAATTATATGAACTCCTCCCAGGGTTTTCTCTACTAGTCCCATCGGTGTTGATCTTTAGTCTACCGGTTGGTGGTAAAACCCAAGTGATTTTAGCATAGTATTGCTTGGGTCTACAACTACTTAAACTTCTGATCATATTTGTCCACTCTGTTGGAAAGCTATTTAACCGTAGGAATCATTACTCTTATGAACCGATATGTCAAGTGGTGAATCTGATATGTCAGTTTAAGAGATGTCTTTTCCATGTCTAATAGAATTTCTTTTTTACCAAAACTCCCAAATTATAACACTAGGGAGGACTCTCAACATCGGCTTCAATATAGGTGTTGATGTAGTGTTCCACCAAGTGATAAGTACTTGTGAAAATTGCATCCCTTCCATAGCAATGCTTGCACATAAAGCAAAATGTCTTCATAGTCTTGCATTTATAAGAGATGTTAGAAAAAGATGGCTCATTGTTTCCTGTCGATAAACCTCACACCACCAGCATCTTGAAGCAATATTTATGTGCATCTTTTGAGATTATCATCAGTAGAAATCCTTCCCCTCAAATCTCTCCACATGAAAATATTGATCTTGGTAGGCACTCCTTTTTCCCATATAGAGTTGTAAATGTTCTACTTATTAAGTTTAGTCCTCAAAAATTCCCATACACTCTTGAGAAATGCAGAAATACGGAGCTCGAATAAAATCACAGATCCGAGAGTTCAAGAACTAGCGGTATACATGGTGTATACATCAAATATACACTTGGTGTATATCATGACAAGTGAGAATGATAAGGGCCAAGGGCCCAAGAAAATTTCAGCAGGTCCAAAGGAGTTAATGGGCAGGCCTATGATTGTTGGCAAAGTGGTAGACTTAGGACAGGTGGACCAAAAGGCCAATTTAATTGGATTTTGGCCAAAGACCAAGTCTAATTATTTCGTTTCCCTCTCTTATTATTTATATATAGTGTATTGTTCGACTAAATTTGTCTATTTTATGATTTAATTTAATTAAATTTCCATAGATAGTCATTTCATTTTTTATCATATTCAAATTAAAATATATATTTACATTTTTTATACTAAACTTTATTTTTATTATTGGCCTTGAAACTTGCAATTATTCCCTTTAGAATGACCCCCCTAAGTTTATTCCCCTTAAAAATAATTAATAATAATAATAAAAAATGTATAAATAAATAAATAAAATAAATGAGTTCTTTTATTTAGTTAGAATTTTAAAAAAATTAGTCAAAGTCATTTTAGTCAAATTGCCGGTCAACCGCAAGTTAGCAGACATTCCGAGGGGCTAACACCTTCTCGGAATGTACATTTGAACTCGAACCCTTTATTTTCAATTGATTTTATCTGTTTAAGTCTTTTGAAAACCTTAGGTTTTTTCTTGATTTTTATTAAAAATTAAGTGGCGACTCTGTTCTTTTAGAAAATCAATTTCTCTTAAACCATAAGGTCAATCGATTTTTCGAAAACTTAGTCATTTTTATTTTATTTATATTTTTGAGTAAAACACTCTTGACAGTAAAGTTGCCTGAATTTTCAATGCTCCAGTATGCAATATCATTTCCTTCTTCACCCAAAGGAGTTTTGATTTTTTTTGTTATGTGTTGTACTATGTCTTCTGGTAGGCCATCTTTCAGCTTCTCCAAGTTTCATTCCCCATTTGAGACATAATTTGTCACCTCTGCTTCTTCCTCTATAAGTCCGTCAGGAACAATGAAGTATAAAGTGCCAAGTCCCGTCCAATTTTCAAACCAAATGCTAGAATTTCCTTGCTTAGGTTTCCATTCGATCAAATGCTCAACCACTTCCCTAATTTGTATCATTTTTTTCCATGCACTTGAACTATTTCTTCCTTCTGCTAAAACCGGATGAAGCTTTTTACAATATTTGTTCCACATGAATAAACTCCACAAGCTTGTAGAGGTTCTAAAATTCCACCAAAGTTTAGCAAATAGAGCATTTGAGGTGTCTTTTAGAGATCTGAAACCTGGACCTCCTTCATCCTTTGGTGTGCACAGAGTATCCCAGGCCACCCAATGTTTGCTTTTCGTCCCTGGTGTATTATTCCAGAAAAATTTAGCAAAAGATTGATGTATTTGCTTGAGCACTCCAACTAGGGGGATCATAGCTGAGAGCAAATAGACAAGCATAGTTTTGAGCACATGCTTGATCAATATGTATCTTCCACCAAATGAAAGAGTCTATTTTGCCAAGATTGAACCATTCTCATAATCTTTTTCACTAGCTCTTCAAAGTATATTATTCTCCTCTTTCCATAAAAAGCATGACACCCTAGATAGGTAATTGGAAAATAACCTTTCTTCATGTCTAGAGTATTTTTTATTCTATTCACAATATGATTATCAATCTTGTGGTGGAGGTAGAAACTACTCTTCTCACTGTTTATTAATTTTCCAGATGATTTCTAAAATTTTGAGCATTTTTTAAGGGTTTATCATCTCTTGAACAAAAGAGTATGGTGTCATCTGCATAGGATAGATGATTGATCTGAGGACTCCATTTGGGCATACCAAATCCTTTAACAATTGGGTCATTATGCAGATTCTCATCGCGATCACGACCCAGGGTCACGCAATCGCGATGAGTAAGGCATTAATGTTGACCATTGTCATTGTGGCAAGACCCACACAATCACGATGCACCCCAAAAGGATGCTACATGATCGCGATGAGGGAGTCTCGCGTTTACAATGACCAAAATGACCATGCACTAGAACCTGAAACCATCCAAACCCAAAATCATCAAAAGGACCCTCGAGATTCATTCAAAACCCTGTAAACACAAACCGGATATGCAAACCAATTAAACTCAACGTTCTGGACTTAATGGAATCGTCACAACACGAGTTCGAGGTCTCCTTGACCTGAAATTCGTGAAAACTACAAGAAACTAACTCACGCCTAGGAAGGCTAAAACACGCTTGGGACCTCTCAAAAATCTACCAAGACCTCAACTAGGCTTAAAATCACCCCCTCCCAACAATCCAACGGAACTCGTGAAATTCTTATCAGAGCATCCGATCCCCGAATGTTAACCAAAGCCAACTCAAAGGCTAAAATTTCACAGGTTCACAACTTAGGACCTCAAATCCTCAAAAAGACTCAAAAATAGAAATTGACGATTCTCCCGAATCATATTTCAAATTTTGGGACCGATGGAATTGACATAATTCCATTTTGATACCCAAAACTCCAAAAGACACCGAAAA